ACAGAGAAATCGGGAAAGCTTCATCTGGGTAGGTCCAGAAGGTGGGGGGATGACTGACCAAGTCCAGTGTGCCTATTTATTTTACAACCTTGTTTCAAGGTCAAACCACAAGTCTGAGATTCTATTTCATCTGCCAAGTCAAGATTGATGTCTCCTTCCCACTTTTAGTTCCTTGGAAAAGCAGGTCGCAGTAAAAGCCATGTACTATTATTACCCTCAGGACAAATGCCAAGAACAGAGCTTGGAGACCTCCCACCCCAGATCTGAGCCCAGCCTGAGCATGCACAGTGAACAGGCTCTGGCCAAGTGCAGCTCCAACCAATCCCCAGAGCTCTGGTGGGAATGTGTTTAATTGGATGGCACTGGCTTTGAGTGGGTCTAGAGAATATCAGTCATATGACAATTGTCAGAGTAGCTCTCTGCAGAGCCCTGCAGCTGGCCTAAACAGAAGCAAGTCAAGCGGTATTTGAAGGTGCAACAAAATTAGAGATTGGAGGTGCCTTCTCAAAGTCCTAATTTTCTTTCAACGCCCAGCCCCAGTCTGACTGCCTTTTCCCAAGCCTTCTGATTGCCACACATGCCTGGGTTGACCGTAGCTTTGGTATTGTCCCACCAGACTGCCTGTGCTCCAGTTATGTAGATACTGGTTTCCCACATGGGCCCTGGACCCTCCCTAAAGTGCCCAGCATAGCACGTTACATACAGCGAGTACCCAATAAATGTTGCTTGGTTGAAGATAACCACCTCCCCCTTTTCTTTTCATCAGGCAACCAGAAGAACTTTCTGAAATCCTGTGACAAAATCTTGTGACAGAGTGCTTTGAAGTTCTAGGTAAGATATTTTGGAACTGGGTAGTAGCCACCACTCAGGTAGCAGGGACAGATTTCCTGAGAGAAAACTGGGCCTTCACTCTAGTACCACAAGGGAAGATTTGAGGGTCCTTTTCTTAGGCAGCAACAAGTTATTTCAGGAGCACAGAAGTGATTTTATTTTCCTCCTGCCACTGCAGCCCCAAGTCAGCTGTCCTCACCCAGCATTGCAGCCCCTTCTCCATCATCACCTGCAATAATCCTCAGATCCAGTAGAATGATCTGAAAGTGAAGAAAACTGCCCTGTAGGACCTGGCCCTTTATCCTGGGACATGTTCAAAAGGAGAATATAAAAAGCATACACAGGATATATCGAAGGCTGTGTTTGGAAAGGTTCTGTGATGGAAATCTAAAGCTCAGAACTGAAAAAAAAAAAATCTCACCTGTAACCACAAAGAGATTCAGTCTGATTCAGCGGCTTGGAAACTGGTATCCAAAAACATCCCAGCCAGTGGGTCAGGAAACTTCTACCCTCCTACAGGCTGTGGGCCTCCAATTGCCCCTCTCAGACCCACTGTGGGGGCGGAAGGTATAAAACCAACCAGGAAAGGGTATTCCCCCTCTCCCCCTGGACCCCATCAGGCTACCTAATACATATTTCCAGCCAGCCAAGGTGCTTAGCCACATTGACACACAACAAAGGGGCCTTCTTGAACCTCCCCAGCATGTCTGAGGTGACTCTGCTGTCACCGGCCAAGCTACCTTACCCAACCTTAGCTTTCATGTCACCTCCCTTTGATCACCCTCCCTCCATCACACCCACTCAGCTTCCTAGTTTCTACTTCTTTTACAAAACAAATGGCCCGGGATGGTCATAAGGAATGACTACCCAGAGCCAGTCTAGATTCTAGCCAAGACCCAGCCCCAAGGCACAGACACGTGATACATCAGAAAAGCGAGGCTTTGGAGTCCAAGACCCAAGTCATCCACTCAGTCTGAGTCTGTTTCCTCATCTGTGAAATAGAACAAGAATTCCCACCTCAGAGCTACAGTCAAGAGTGAATGAGTAACGTTTGTAAAGGGCATGGTGGGCATTCAGTTACTATCTGCTGAATGAGCCCATCACACCTATTTATCTTCCCTGGCCAGCCATCCTGCCCAATTTCCCTAGTTCCAAAGTCTTTGCTTAAAAACAGACTCTTTCCTCGCCCAAATGTAATAACCTAGACACTCTCCTTGGAAATCTGAAGACAGCTCACTGCCCCAGATGTATGTGAAGGTCTCTGCAGTCAGCCAGGGGCAACTGAAAAGCACATGGCCAGCCAGAACCAGCACTGGGCTGAGAACCTGAAGGGGTTACTTAGGCCACTTGTTTGGTCCTTATGCATTCTGGATCCACAACACAGGATGATCTCTAAGCTGGATTCTGGCAATCACATCCCTGAGATAGCTACCCTTTGAGGAAAGGTCTCCTCAACTCTAAGTAGTCTGAACATTAACCCTGTTGGAATCAGTTGGTCAACCATCAACCAGAGGAAGAAAGAAGCATTTGACACAGCCATTCCTCCATCAGACCACCCTTCTCCATAAGCTGCCCCTCACAGTGATGTTGTCATTGCCCAAGGCACAGCTGGAAAGGGAAGTTCTGGTCTGAACTGACTGCACAAATCACTTCCCCTTTGCCACTGTGAGGGGGAGAGTCCACAGCAACCAGGACAACTCGTTAATAACATTGCCTCATGCTTGCCAAACACTCACTGTGTCCCAGGCACTATGAATGCCTTATACATGTCATTTCATCATGTTGAATCTCACCACAATTTAGATGAGGACTATTGTTGCCCCATTTTACAGAGGAAGAAACTGAGGCTTACTGGCATTAGGGGAGTTTCTCAAGGGCACATAGCTCTTACAAGTGGCACTGGGATATAGAATCAAGTCTGCCTCCAGCCCTGGCATAAGCCACCAGGCTCTTAAGAGCCAGAAGGAAGCCAGTAATGAACTCACCTGGTAGGAAAGGCCATCCTTTCGGGGGTTAAGGCCAATCTCCTCCATGGATGGAGTGTTCATCATCACCTCAGTCATCTCGGCCGATCTCAGATAGTCAGGGCTGCCAAGAAACCCAGAAAAAAAGTCAACAAACACACACACTTTCACATTCCTACTCTCGGTGGTGCGTCCTGCTCTTAGAGCAGGGGACTGTCCGGAAGCAGGATGAGAGGTGTTCGAAACAGAACTCTCAGAAAAACAAGCTCATGCCCCGAGGAAGCACCTTACAAGCCCAGAGAATCAAGCTCTCAACCTCTACCAACAAAGCCCATTGTCTGAAAACGACTCTGCAAACCTCCTCTTCCCTCCTCTCCTGTACTTGTCCCCACTGGCACAGAGTGACTCTGGATTTTCTTTTAAGTGACAGAACTAGAAAAAAAACAAAACAGTAGGTAGCTGAGGCCATCTGTCTATATTAACACCAATTCAACCCGTCTCTAGGGGAACTGAATATTATTATTACATAATGATAGCAGGTCAACCTCAGGGAAACCAAGTTCAATAATGCTGCCTTCCTAAATTTCTGTCTCTCTGGTGTTCCTTTTTGCAAAATGTCCCACTTAAAGCCCCAAGGGGTAAGCTCTCTGCAAGCTTCACATCTGCAATCCAACCCCCTTCTCCAGCCCCAGCCACAGCAGCTGCAGCTCACAGCTTGAAAAACATCCCCTGGATTAAAAGCCTTAAGGATGCCTGGACTCTGATTGCAAAGGAAATTTCCAGAGGGGCCAAGCTGGCCCACCAATGGCTGACATGTGAAAGTGCTTTGTACTTCATAAGCAGGATACAAATGCTCCATTATCCTCACACAAGCCATGGGCACATACAGGGTCCCGAATGTGTAATGCCAAGTAGCACATACCAAAGTCAACGTACCGGCCACATAACATCCAGTATTTTCACCATCATGCCTTTACACGTGGTTAAAAAAAAAAAAAGTAGGATAGGCTTTAGAAAGACTAAGGAAACAGGAGTACCAAACTCTTCTTCATTTTATGGCTCCTACATAGAGTAGAAACGGCATTGGATTTGGAAACAGAAGCGATAGGTTCTGGTCCAAGCTCTGCCAGTCAAGTGCAGTGTGATCTTGAACAAGTCATATAACCTCTCTGAGCCGCAGGTACCCTGTTAGGCTGTTACCACGATACTAATTATGCATATCTCACAGTTGCTAAAAGACTTATCTAGGGGGAGGGCATTGCAAACTGAAATGCTCATCAACTGTAAAGTAATTCCAAACCTTAATCTCTCAGGGGACGATAACTCTGATAGGCCCTAACACCCATTTTAGCAAGTTTTGAGTGGCCAGGGGCACACAGCGTCCAACGGCCTTCCAAGTCTCACCCATATGGTACCTGGCTGCTCACATACCACGGAGGGAATGGAGGGGCGCTCAGAAGAAGAAGGACACTGCAAGCCTCAGGGGCGAGGAAATTTTCACTTTGTTTTGAGAGTTCAGTCTCCTCTCTGAAAAGAGCCAGACTAGGATGGGGGAGGGAAAACTAAGAGAAGATGCTGGGTTTCCGGGCAAGTTTAAGGTTGGGAGTCAGGACTCCGAAGTCCGTTTCCTCCTGAGTCATGGAAAGGCTACCGCCGACCCCCAGAGAAATGGGCCAGAAGAGCGCCCACCGGGCTCTCTCCAGGCTTTTAATCAGGTTTCAGGGCGCTCACTTCTCGCTCCCGGCTATGCGCGGCCGCGAAAAGTTAAAGCAAGAAGCATGAACTTTCCGGTTCCTGTGCTGAGGAGGACTGCGCGGAGCTGGAGCCTGCGGGGCCCTACTTTCCGCGCCGGCACCTGAGAGCGCGCTCTGGGGCCGCCAGCGCTCGCCCCTCGACCGCTCTTCCTCTTCCCTAGCGCAGGGAGGAAGCAGCAGCCTGCGCGCAAGTCCCAGCGGCCCGTGGCCTCGCTCTGCAACGAACCGGACGCCCAGAGCGCATCCCTCCCAGCCCCAATCGGGGTTGGGTGCAAATCTCGGCCTTCCCCCGCTCGGCCAGGGCCCCTTCCAGCCGGGCCCGGTGAGGGCGGCTCCTCCTCAGCCCGGGCCCCTATAAATGCTCGTCGGGTTTAGGGGCCATGGAGAGGAAAGGGATCGAGAGGGTGCAACGACAGCTTGTGCTGCTGCTTGTGGTTTCAGCCGGGTTAATTGTGGGGAGAGCGTTTTCCCCCACCCCTCGGAGCTCTGCAAACGCCGCCGCTGCACCAGCTCAGCCCCTCTGCCGCCGGCCTCGACGCCGAGACTTGCATGCAAACAAAAAGGAAGAGGGGAGGGGCCCAGGGAGAGCAGGAGCCCCTGCGCCAGGCAGGGTGCGCGCCTCCTGCAGCCCTCCGCATAGGGGGTTTTATTAACTGGATTCAGCTGTGATCCCTGGTTCCGCACCACCCCCCAACACCACCACCACCATATACACACCCTCCCAGCTGTCACTTAAGTGAGGGCTTCGAGTTCACTTCCTTTGTCTGGATGCTCAGCACCACCTCCCCCCACCCCCACCTTTGCAACCTTGACGTTGACTCCTGCACGGGCTTCGGCAGCGGTTTAATGCCAGGCGCCCTCGCCGCTCACTGCCCTCGCACCCGAACCGGCGCGAGCAGGCGCCCGGGACCCGCAGCCACGGCCACGAGACAAATGCCCGCCGAGGGCGCTGGATACTTACCAGTGAATGGGGAAATATACAGACATGAAGTCCTAGGGGAGCCTGACCCACGCCCTTGTGATTTAAAAACGGTCACTGCGTCCCGTGTAAGGATGTCACGGGCGCAGACAGGCGCGGCAGGCAGCCGAGTGCGGGCACTGGGCGTTCGCCGGTCCGCCTCCTGGAGACAGCCCCACTGCCAGCGGCGTCAGCAGAGAAGACGGAGCTCTCGGTTCTCCACCGAGCTCGCAGCCCCACAAAGGGCCCAGGAAGCCGTATTTATAGGAGCGGGGGCGGGGCTCGGCCCCGGGAGGCCCCGCCCTCTCTCGCCCACTCCTGGAATAACGTCACCAAAATCATGAATGGCTTCGGCGCTCTCAGCTTCGGCGGGCGGCGGCTCGGGGGCGCGCTAGGCTCCGCTCCCCGAGAGCCGTGGTTTGCTGTAGCTTCTAGCCCGACCCCCTCCCCACGATTCACACAGGCAGACACGCGCGTGGACACGCGCGCGCACACACGCACGCAAAGGGGCCGGAGTTCAAAGTCAGCGCCGCTTCGCGTTTACAATCCCACCCGCGTCGGCGCCCCTCTCCCTGCACACACCCCGGGGGTGCTTGGGGGCAAAGGACGTGGTGTGAGGAGGGCGCCCGGGCAGGCTCCGCTTGTGACCGCTCAGCGGCCGCCCTACGCCAGGGAAGGGCGCCATCCCTTAACCAGCGCCCCCTTTTCCACCCACTAGCAGTCTACAGCCCCCACCTCGGGACTCCTCTTCAGCGTTCATCCCCCAAACTAGGCCTTTCCCAGGCATCCTCGCTCGCAGCACCTCGATCGCTGCGCCCGAGGCACGTCTCCTCTACCCCCAGGAAACTGAGTGGAAATGAGAGCACAGCTAAAACAAAGAGGCGGTGGGAAGGTGAGAAGGGAAGCAGAGCTGGAGGACCTTATGGCCCTGGGGTCGCGTTAGCTTCCAAGGAGCTGGTCTGCAGCCCTGAGAGCCGTGGAGGGTCTTATTTGTATAAGAAAAGATGTGTTGTCGTCGTAGGGTTTTTCCATTGGACAAGTACACCCAGCCTGCGGCGGGTGTCTTGGGATGCTGGTGGACGCCGCGCAAGCAAACTCCACCAGCTTTGGCTCCCAGATCTGCTCCAAGAAGAAGAAACAAAGAGCTTCAGCCGAACCCCTCCCACACTGCCCAGGAATTGCAACGCCAGGAGTCTCTCCGGGCGGTGCGCAGCCCCTAAAGCCCGGATGGGAGTCTGCCCCTCTGTGGCTGGAGTGCGTTGCTTCACACCTCTGCCTCAAGACTCCTCCTGTAAAATGTCTTTATAACCCTGACCCAAGTGTGTCCTCGCGACAGAGGAAGTGTGTGTGTGGGTAGGGACGTGGCGGGGATGGTATCCAAAACTAGGCAAAATTAAGTGTGCATGGAAAGGTAGGGAATGTGTTGAATCCATATATATGTGTTTAAAGGGGGAAATATCAGCCTATCTCAGGTAAAAAGGATAGGATTTATGGCGAGGGTTTGACACTGGCAGGGCTATGAGGAGACCCTCATAATTTTGATCAGCCCACCCAAGCCAACACAAATAAGAATAATAGATAAGAATAATCAAATTGAAACCAACTTTGCTATTTTTTACACTCATTCATATATACAACCTGAATAAAAACAGTGTACTTCCCATGAAAACGCAGCTTCAAGACCAGACCCCGGGTTTCTCCCTCCAACCAGAGAAATTCAGGAGCTTCTCGCCACAAAATAAATCAGAAATTGATTTGTGCTGCCAAATACGACCTCCACTCTGCTCCTCTGGAGGTAGAGTCCTGATGGTGGGCGATGTTTTTCTGTGGACAGGTGCTATGGCGGGGCGGGGGCGAGGAGTGGGCAGAGGGGTAGGGGTAGGGGGTCCGGTGTAGCGCTACTGCCGACAGGGGGCCTGTGTGCCTTGTGCGTAGGATTTGGAAGCTTCTCAAAGGCTAGATGTGACCTGTCGTCTACTTCTCCAAAGGCGAAGCCAATGTTTGGAGAGCTGGTTTCCAGGCTGGACTTTCTGGGGCACTTAGAGGACAGTGCCTGAGTTAGGCCCTTGGTGAGCAGAACTGATGCCTTCTGCCATCTCTCCCCAGTAACAATCCCTGGCAAGGCCTGGCATGAAAGACTGTCTCACCACTTTCACTTAGCAACAGCCCTGCATTACATCTTTGTGATTATCGCTTTGTGAAATTTTCAAAATTCAGAAAGCTGCTCCTACCACTCACAGACACACAGACACACAGACACACATACATCCCTTAGTGTCAAAATGGCCTCATTCTGGAGAAGAGGATGGGAAGTAAGGCCTTCACCAGCAGATATCCAGCCTCCGGAAAAATTCCCTACTTTGGAGAACATTGAGGTAATTATCTTATGCTCCTCTTGGAGAAAATTCGTTTTAATGCCCATTTTAGCTAAATTTCATTTCCATCAGTAAGATGGAGTTGAAAGTAAGCCTCGGGTTGGGACCCCAAATCTACACTTTCTGTTTCCCTTCTGGGTCCCCATGACACATTTATTCATTTGAAAATATGGGAATCATGGGGCCAAACCTTGATGCAACCATAATGAGTACACCACTCTTCAATCATAATACTTTATATAGTGTCTTGCAGGTTTCCAAGGCATTTCTATTATCTCAACTTTCAAAAGAATGTAGAAAGATTACCATAGCACAACGTACAGTCCCCAGTTTACAAATGTGGCAACCGAGGCGGAAATAAATGAAAGGGCTTCCCAGGATCACACAGCCACTGTGCTGCATTGCTCTGGATCATGCATTTCCTTCATCTCTCTAAAGACACAAGTTATTTTAACCTGCAGACTGATCATTTCTTCCCAATATCCCATGAGATAGGTTTCTATCCCTACTGCCTTTGAGTAAATGAAGAAGCAGAAACACAAGCAAATGAAGTTGCATAGAACTCAAGAGCTTAAAGAGCCCTTCCAAATCACCAAATCCAGTCTCCTCATTTTACAGGTGAGAAGACATCTAAGAGATTAAGTGGCATGTCCAAGGTCGCCAGGATATTAAATGGTATAGATGGAACCTGAACAAGGCCTTCAGATGGCTGGTCAAATGTTCTTTCCACTGCAAACCTACGCCCTGCACTGCACTTGCCAGGAAGTCAACAGCAGAGGTCAAACATGGGATCTGGTCTCTTGAAACCCCCTCAGTCCACCACCAACAGTTACTGAGCATCTACTAAGTGCAGACCAGGGAACTAGACACCCTTCTGTATTTCCTTCTCCTACCTTTGCAGGAACTAGAGAGCTGAATTGCAATTCTGCTTCAATAAAAATCCAAGGGTAATCAGAACTTCCGTGCTTTCCAATGTTATATCAATCCAGTTTCCCAGCTCCTTCTCTCTCTCAACTGAAATAAGAATTTTAAAAAAGAATAAAAGTACCGAGTTTTATATCTTATTAGCATTAGCTCAAGCATCACTGTGTCACACACTCAGGACATGTAGCTAATTATTCATGGAGTAGAAAAAGTCTCCAATTACATTCATTTAGTAACATATTCCCACACTTTATTCCTCTTCTGGCTTTGCAAAAAGGCAGTATTGCTTGTAATTCACCTAGTGGTGAAGCTGGACCTTGGGTTAGCTAAAAGGAACTTCACAAAGTAAGCTTGCTGAGGTACGCTCCTATCTGTTAGAACATTTATGTCTGCAAACAACTTTAAGACAGAGGCACTGTTGCCCCATTTTATAGCTGAAAAAGGAGAGGCTTTGAGAGGTTAAGTAATCTGACTCTGAAATGGCTCAACTAAAATTTGATTCTGGGGCTTGTTAGTTCTAAAGCCTATGTTTTCTCCACAATATGACATTTATCCTGGCCTCTGTGGTTTTGTTTGTTTGTCTTAACAGCTAATCCATAAACTGAATACAAAAGTGTTGATTCCAACAGCAAAGATCAGGACTATTTTGTGTCCATCCAGTGGGGTAGGGCTGGCAGAATAAACAAATTTCCCACCCTGGGAATCTGGGAATGTCTCAAAGGTGTCAGTCAAAGGCTTGGGTTTAAAAAAATAGTGAGTGGGAGAAGGGGAGTTTCTAGCCAATTTTTCGGTGAAACTCATTTGAGTATATAAGAAATCTGAAAGGCAAGAATGTGTGTGGGTTGATGTGAGGATGAAATGAGATAATGTTATGAAAACACTTGGTAAGTTGGAAAGCACTGAACAGACGCACAGCTTGTTTTTAAGGTGTGTGGGGAGAGAGGAGGTTCAGCAGACGTGATTGCATCGGCCTCAGTTTTTCACTTATTTCAACCACAGACTGCCCCATTTTCCCCTGGAGCCCCTTGACTGAAGTTTCCAGCTTCTGGGGGAGGGGGGCAGACACCAGAGGCAAGCAGTGAAGCTCTGCCTGGTGGGCACTGCTGTGGTCCCAGTGTCCCAGCAGCTCCCCTCACACGCTATGAGTTCTTCCCAGCAAGGATTAAGCTGCATTCTGGATACATGATGAATGAGCGGGCCTGAGAGCATGGACACACTTTCCCACCTTGACCATTATGGAATTAGCAGTCCCCCACACAAAGCAACCCGAACCCACCAGACAGAACCCTCCAGCCTTCCACTGACTTTGCTGTAAGTCCCCAGGCAAGTTGTGTGACCTCTCTGTCTCAGATTCCTAAAGCAATAAAAGCAGGCAATAGATGTCTCTTTTTCACTCTTGGAGTGCTAAGAAGGCTGAGAGAAATTGCTTCTATAAATGCTCAAAAGGGAAGTGCTTTGCAGCCCATCACCAGGGCTCTGTAGCCAATAAAGCCCGTGGGTACTCTTGCGCTGTGCCATCTCACAAGGAGCCTCCATCGTTCTCCAACATGCTCACCCCCTGGGATCTGGCAGCCCGTGAACTCTTGCTTTCCCAAATATCAAAGAGATTCAGCCCTGGCTTACTCTTTATTTCTACCAAGGGGCCTTTGAACCAAAGGGATTTTTCAAAGAAAGAAAACTCTATGGAACCTTTACAGTCCAGGCTCTTAAAAGAAAACACTAAAACTGGAACCAGTTCAAGGCCCTCGTGTCCAATTAAGGAAACACTCACATTCCTGTCCTGGCTCCGGCCCTAGCGTGCTTTCTCTCTTTCCACATCTACCCAGGAATGCACTTTAACAGCCAGAAAAGAGGTTACTATCACCAGGACACAGATCATATAGCAGAGGGCTCCTCGGGGTGGGCTCCAGCAGGCTGATACCTTCCTTGAATTAGACAAAGAGCATGGACC